TGCTGCCTTTCTTACACGCCGTGTAGAATATAGACGTCAGCCAAAGTGACAGGAATGGTAGTCCGATAGAAACTTTGCTTTGTACTATACTAACCATGGCACCACTTAGGCTAACCCTTGCCTGACCCTAGACTTCCGTTCTTTGGCATGGGCTACAATGTACCATGCCTTAGGCTGTCACACCTTTTATTATGATTGGGTTTATGTTTTTCTCAGAATCTTCGAAAAAAAATCAGTGAACTTGCCATCTCTGCTTATTTCCTCGTTCTGAATGTTTTCCCGTTCACCCATTCATCCAGATTTTTTTCTATGATAACACACATACTTGTGTTAATACTAATAGTTTCAGAATACAAATACATTGTAGCCCTAAGTATTTCCTGGTTGAATGTTTACCTGCTCGTCCAAATAACGCTTCCTGAGATAACACGTAGATAAGACACATTCCTGTGTTCATTATATTGGTCTCAACTACCATTAAAACAGGCAAGGAAGCTCTTACGTCACTACACAAAAGGGGAATCCCCTTTTCTGTCTCGGCCGAAACGTGCTGTTAGGAACTCGCCGCACGTCATCGAATAAACGCAAAGGGGGCAAATGGTTTCCGCCGCCGGCTCTTTGAGTGGTGGTTTTAATTACACATACCTGTGGTATATTGTTAGGTGACCATGATAAGAAGGGAACGCCGACAGGGAACCCATAATTAAAAGTCCCACTTGTTGACCCCGTAGTGTGACTTATACATTCGTTTCCTACGATCATACGTGCGCTGAGTGTTCAGGGCAAGAAAAGCGATGGGCCACCAGTGTCGGGTTTAGCTTAGGAAGTGTATTGGGGGGTGGGGGGGGGGGGTGGGGGGAAGATGGCAGCTCACTCCAGCCAAACGCTTAGCAACAAAAGAAAGATAAAAAACAAACAAACAAATCTATACAAATGTATTGTCCGAAACGACATGCACACCGCATTGTGTCGAAACTTAAAGTATCGGAGCCGTAGTAGGTCCACTGAAAGGCTCGAGTGTGCAGGTAGATTTCCGATCAGAAATCGATTTCTTAAAAAGAAGTTTGCGGCCTAGTCGCGTTGACCCAAGGAATACAATGCGATTTGACGCAAAGGGCAATCCTTTAGGATGTCTTTTCATCTGTCTGCTCTAGGTTTATGTTAACCTCATCTCTTTGGGACGATGGCATGGGAGATCTGTTAGGGACGGGGATGAAACCCGCCCCCTCCTGCTAGCCCTTTCTAACCGGCATTCTAGCATAAAGCTCATACATGCAGTAGTCACACGGAGTGTTGACAAAAAGTAACAAGGTGGTATAAACAGACGGATGAATAACATTACACGGCACTTCCGTTTATGAAAAAAGAAAATAAGATCACGAATAAAGATGTGTTTAATGCTGACGTAAAATGACATGATTTTTGTTGATAGAGCTGAATTGAGCTAAATAACAAAGGTGGGTCCGTTTTACATACAAGGAATGCTTATTTCGCAATGACTTGATATTGAATGGAAAGTACGAGTAAGTTTTAAAAATAGCCCAGGAGGTAAATAAGCCCATGCGTATCAAAGCTTGTTTCCATGTTTTTTCAAAACAAACAATTGGTCATCGGAACAATAGTATTCAAATGAGATTGTACTTAAATAAAGGGTAGTCAGATATCGTGCTCATTTCAAATAAGTCGTCAGTGTGACATTTTGATGACGTACTGTAATTCTCTATTTTTAGAATCTAGCGGAACGCTTCACGTCCGAACATTTGGAAGGCGAAATTAGGAAAAGCAGGTAAACACGTATATGTATTACATTCATTATATTTGTAATTATAGTATTTTTCATTATCTGTCTTACTATCTATAAATTTATTTTTAGCTTAATGATAAATTACCAAGATCTTTAGTTTTAAATCTTCCGCTATTTTGCCTTAATTTAGAGAAGTATGCGTACCACGCACTTTTAGTTGACAAGATCTGCTAGAAGATAAATTTGGGGTACATGTATTTGCGAAGGATATGCTGAACATGAACATTAAATGCCTCCACTCCTTTTAGGTGCTACAAGTTCACAGTCTTACATAGGGCCTATATTAGTATTTTTTCAAATCTGGGGTTTATTATGAATTTTCGTCCTCTGCGTGATCTATGGTATAGAATGAAAGACGCTGTGATTTGAAACGTGTCTGACGGGATGGATGTTCGTAATTTAGGAATGATTACATTATTATAGTAAATTATTACTAGGCAACAAAATAATTTACCATGTAAATCGCTTTAAGCTAATCTTGCAGGTGTCATGTTCTCCTCTAAACTGTCGAGTTTCCTCATTTGCCTTAAATACTGCGACGGTATTGAAATATATAGTAATAACAACCCGTCGACATAGTTAAGCTTTTATAATTACTATTATTTTCATGAAATATTTGCAATTACATCGTTGATCGGTCAAAGTTGTTTAATCTAAGAGAGCTGTTATATTCAGAACTTATGGTCCGTTTCACTGCCGAGGTGTGTGTACAATGTACAGCAGTTCTGTGCGCTGTGTGTAAATGCAGCTACCGTATGCATGCCTGCACGTAGCATCCTTTGATGTAGAGAGACGGCGTACAGGTTTCTGGCGCGTGTCGTCTTTGGCCGGTGTGACAGGAATGGAAGTCCGCTAGGAACCGTGCTCCCTTTCCCATTACTTTGTACAGACGGCATTCGTCTCACATACAAACTCCGATTGTCCGACTAACCCTAACCCGTACTAATCACATGGGACCCCCGATTTCCATTCCCCGACTTCTATTCCTGTCACACCGGCAGCAAGGGTTTGTATGGAAGTGTATTGAGTGGGAGTGGGTGGTGAAGTGTCCCACGTGGTGAACGTCAACGTTTATCAAAGACATATCTAAAACGACAGTCCTGTTCTTTTGGGTGTTAATATTTTGCAATACATGATTTGAATTAAAACCAGTTTTGGTAACAATTAAGGGGAAAAGAAGTCCAGTCGTTCTGTATGCATCATAAAGTTCAGGAAGATCGGTTATGAGCTTGACTGCAGATCTACTCTTCTTCCTCGAGTTCTGTCATCGATACAAAAGACATAATACAGTATAGCCTGGTGGAATGTCAGTAGACTAAAATATATCTATCGGAATCTAGCCGCGGAGAAATGCCGACCATTCCTAACCCGAGAGTCACGTATTTAAATCGATGCGCGGTGTTTACCGAACCGCGTCAACGCTCGCTTCCAAATATGGATCATCACTACGCTCGCGCCCGGAGTTCATTGAGAAAAAGTTATGAATGGCGTGCCTCGTTGTGTAATCCAGCCAGCTGGAGTACGCGAGAGGCCGCCGATGGCTCTACCGCCCCGGATACTGACTCAAGAGGACACAGTGCCACGCGCGCCTAAGAATGTTGCGGAAGACCACAAATACGACGGATTAATTTATCTAAAGTTAATCGAATAATATAAGTCATGATTGCCTGCAGGTGCACAGTGTGTAAACTCCTCTGTTTGGGTTATTTTAGTGAAACCGCAATGTTGTTAATATAAACGTAAGAGACATAATATACAAGAGAAACAATGAAGAGTGGAACAGAGTGATAACTTAGTGATAGAAATACTTCATCAAAATAAACGACAGATACACATAAAACGTTCGACAAATATAATATAATTAAACTCTTCTTTAAAAGAAGACAACGGTAGAAAGATTCTGCTTGGTTTTTATATTCATCTACGGATCAACTCACTCATCAATATGTCTATTGATCATTTAAGTAAATAATCATCTGTTGAATTAGATATAGGAACTCGAGGCACTTGCCACGGCGGAATATATGTATAAATGCGTCAGGTAGAAAGATTCTGTATTTGTAAAAATACGCCAGACAATGTGGCTGATCAAATTACCCATTAATTTACCCATTCATCCGTTCTCAGATTTTTTGATAGGGTGGGTGGAGGAAGTATTATACCATTTCAGGTCGTCCTGACCTGGAAAAAAAAGAGTGAAGTTTCTACTGGCGTGAGATCATGGAACCGCCCATGTGAATTGCATAATGAGAGTGACAATAACAATGAAAAGTTCAGTGGCATCTTGGACGAAAGGAACGTATTATTCTTCCAAGGTTATGCGAATGCCCGATATTATTGTTGGATTCTTTACAGGGTATAAGTGGCATGGCAAAGACATGTTTGGTGTCTCGCCATCTAGGCCTATCTTTCTGCTTGTAAAACTTCGAAGATAGCATTACGCTTTTGAAACGAAAAACGGAAACCGGTTTGCGTCTAAAACGCGCCACATGGCAACAAATCCCCTGTACATCAAATAAATGAATAGATTTATAAATTCGTAAAGAAATGAACACATAAATGATAAACCCGACAATTAAATTATCGACTTTCAAGTGCACTGAGGGTGTCTACGAAAATTGGCTAATCAAATTGATTAGCCATGGCTAAAAGTAGATATTAATTTAAATTGGTCCGAACGGAATTCATTTTTTTGTCTGTATAAAAACGACTTAACTTTTTTTGCAATCTGGTACACGAAATCTACATAATACTCTCGTGTCATCGGCCAAAAACGAGGAAATTGAAAAAAGATCAACAGCATAGATTATATGTTATTACTGTATGCACCTGTTGCTTGCTTAGAAACTTGGTGATGGAATAGCAATATGGAAAGGTATTAAATAAGCATTCAGAGTTGCTAATGGACCCAAATGAACGACTACCCTCCCCCCCCCCCCCCACACACACACACACACACAAACACACATATATTACACTTCTACCTGGTTACATCTTTGACTTTACGAGGATTTTCTTTACGGTCTTTACCCCATGGTATGTTTATGAGCGCCCGATATGTAGGCATTGAACTCGCAGTTATTGTATAAGGGCGAAATCGTCTGGAAAATGCATTTATTGAAAATTTAGGCTATCATTTGTCTAGCAATTGAGAGAGAGAGAGAGAGAGAGAGAGAGAGAGAGAGAGACGAGGGAGAGAGAGAGAGAGAGAGGCATGCCTGACAAGGTCCAATCTGAGCCAGGAAGATGATTGGTGACGGTAAGGTGACAGGCCTGAAAACCAAAGCCAAGAGGGTCATCGTATCATCAACCTGTTGGTATCGATCGGTCGTTTTTCCCGACCGCGAGGATCGGGACCACGTCGTTACCTGCTGATACACATGTACATGTTCACACGTGCGCGTGTCGTTTGACACAGATCTTTTCAACTTGGATCTTCATGACTCACATCTTTCCTAAATGACGTTTTATGCGTAATTGAGCTACCCTAATGACAATGTTAAAGAGAATCTCACAAATGGCTTCCCGTCGTAAGGATGTCCCCGTCGTTATCTTAATATGATAATTATAACACCTGAGCGTGTTCCACAAGGTAGAGACTTTTTGATACAATCTATATATAGGTTTGAGTCACCCGCACCAAAAGGTGTCAGGCACTATTTAGCTTAGACCCCGCAGTACCTGGCAGTTTGTCAAAATCGGTTCTAACTGTCCCTCTAATTGCTAGCCACTCCCCTCAAAGGGGCATCGACGAATGACCTATGTGGTCACAAAATTAACCAGGAAGACGACAGTTAAAAGGCAACAGACGATCCCAAAGAAATTCATTTGAGATTCGAAAGAACAAGTCAGCGGTATTGACACAGAACTTCTGCAACCGGCTATTTCATAAAGACAACTCAGAGTGCAGTAAAGGTTCGAATATTTAAAGGTAAAAATATGTATGTCTCGACACTTTTAAGATTAATTAAAATTATTTTAGGTATTAATTTTATTACGTAAAAAGGCATTACAAATGTATATTGATTCAACGTTAAATTTAGATTCCTAACGTTTGATGTCGTGTTAGAAAGAATGTGGAAATGTTTGCGATAGAATGGTCGATATACATTGGTAAACATGCCGTCAGAAGGATGATAAAATGGTAGTTTTGGATTAGGTATTGTGACGCAATCTCTGATCTGATCTGATTTCGTTCTGTACTCTGCGCTTTAGTGTCCTATGTGGACTGTCTTGACAACTAGCGCCTGTCTATGCGGGCAGCCCACCTTTGGACGAATAAACGGTTAAAGATAAGATGGGATTTCCGAAGCAATATATTGCCCGAAAATGTAATAATTTCGCAAGTTATTACAAGTAAAAATTCGTAACATGCCTACTAGTTAAGAATTCTGTGAATCTCCCTGAGCACCGACGCAGAGTTTTATCTGTCACAGGTTTACACACTCAGGAACTCGTTGTGTTGGCCTTATCCAAATTTTACAATGCAGTCAGTGCAGTAACGTCGTAGTCTACGTAGTTTAGGTCGATTCGGTAATGCTCTTTATTGTGTAATATAAATGCCCCCTTCTAGCTGCTATAGGTGTAGTTATGAGGCATGCTGGGGTGTCAAAAGTTATTTGGAGATATCGGATTACTGTTTTTTAATCGTTCTGACCTACGTATGAAGTGTTATACGTAAGTCTCTCTCTCTCTCTCTCTCTCTCTCTCTCTCTCTCTCTCACACACACATATATACTAAGTTGCCTATTAAGATAAAACCAGTGCCACTATAACCAAGCCTACTGACATGTATATGGAACGGTACAGTGTCTATTCTATCCCTTTTTACCATTCTTCCCTCTCCTCTCCTTCTCTCTCTCCTATCTTTATTTTTCCCCTTTCCTCTCTCTCTCTTTTTTACTCACATTCCTCCTTGCCTCCGATTGTGAATACAAGTCTTATTATTCTAGCCACTACGTAGAAAATATATACAAACACAAGAATTGAACGAGTATCGCTGACATTAGCCGCTATCCACACCACCTGGCAATTAGCTGTTCTTTTTATATCTTTCTGTCTGGCAAAGTGCATATTTCTACTAACAATTTCATCAGGTGAAAACTGATATAGCTTTATTTGTAAATTCGTGCAAGTGAAGGCGCGCTCAATTATCATTTAGTCTTACATTTTACGTAAATTGATATCTTTTATCTCCTCCGATTTTTGCGGCTATTGATCATTCCTTTGTTCCACAAAGATATAAATAGTGTTTCCTTTGCTGGATTACTGAATTTACTTACCTACTGATTTATTGAATTCTGGCATTAATTGTTATAGTGCTTATCATCACCATAACTACGGTCAACAAATCAAGCACGAAACAACGGGAAAAAATGAGACGGGTTCAAATGTATGGGAATTCAATCATTCTTCCGCCTACCCATCTGTTAAACACTGAAATCAACTCCAATGATCACTTCTCATTGCATCAGCTGACGCCTAAGTCAACTTGGGTGCAAAGTGATACGAAAATCCAACAAAATCGATTTCGCGGGGGTGGGGATGAAAAGTGTACGAAGCGAATGTGCAAAATTTTTGTACCTGAAACCTCGGGCACATCTAGCTGATCAACTGTTTTTTTTTTCATCCTGGATTTTAGAGATTGCTGAAAAAGCATTCTTATAATAAGAATGCTGAAAAAGCATTCTTATTATAAACGTGTTTCTGCTGCTTGGAAATATATATATTAGAAACTCAGGGTAGCTCTGTCATACCCCGTTAGGCAAAACATCTTTGTTGTGTGCCCAGGGGAGAAAAAAAGCACTTTCTGAAAATGGAATCACAAGACTGTCTATAGCATTCGATTCCGAGGAAACGATTTTCTCACCAAAACTGCGCATGTTCTAGCTGAAGCCCCAGGGCGGATTTACATTAATGTTAGGCCCACCCCTTTCTGTTGCTTTCTCTAATAGCGGGTCGCCTAATTAATCTGAATTCGAACAGGCTGGGTCGTCCATGTAGACAACCCAATACGCTCTCCAGGGGCGGATCCAGAGATATTTTATAACAATCTTCCAATCTGTGTTGATCCATCCACCACTTTTGACCATCTTCCGACAGAAAAAAAATTAGATGCCCAAAATAAGATGCCCGTCAATGTAAACTTGAAACATTCTGACCGTCTCTTGGAAGACAAAAAGTGCGGCTTCTTTCCGCCTGTGCTCTCTGAGGGTCCCAGAAAGTATTTTTTTTTGACACTAGATGTTCTCAGATATTTCTCCTGCTTATGATGGGCTAATCTGAATCTAGTTATTAAATTTATATATTTCGACAAATAAATAAATAAATAAATAAATAAATAAATAAATAAAAATAGACAAATGGTAGGTTATAGACCTTTTCTACATGTTTTAGCACCAGGTAAGATAAACATAAAATGCACGCGTTATTAATAAATCCTGCATATTCGCTGACATTGGCTTTTACTGTGATGCTCTCACTTAGACGAGAAAGTTTCAATAATTCCTCCAAATGCACAGCGGTTAACCAATGAGAGGATTCCAGGTATTAACTATCCCTTGATTAATTCTATGTGTCGCGATCGTATTTCTTGAATCTCGTGGCTTTTGGTCACGTTTTTAATACCGATAATATCTCGGAAGGCACAGCAGTCAACTAATGAGGAGATTTTAGGTATTAACTATCCCTTGATTAAGTCTCGTGAGTCGCAAACGTGTTTCTTGAATCTCGTGACTTGTGATCACGTTTCGCTAGCAATCAAAGTAACGCGTGCGGTCTTCACTGTCAGCTATTTTGAAACTCCTGGCTAACCTGCTAATCAAGAACTTGAGGCAAACAAAACATCTCCACATACCACATTAAACATTGTAGTCGTGCACAATTATTGTCACCGTGGTCAACACTTGTCCTCTTTGTCTTCCTTGTTGTCTTGAAATTAAACCGTTTGCTCACGAAGCGAACAAGCAGAACGTACACGAACAAAATGCCCACCATCTCAGTGTGTGCTTCTATGTTTAAACAATGTGTAAGCATTTTTTTTAAAGGGAAGCTGTTTGCCAATGATCTAGATGTGACTCTATGATTATATTGTGGTCTCGTGTTATTCTGTTGTAGCCTAGTGTTAGTGTACCATAGCCTAGTGTTAGTGTACCATAGTCTAGTGTTATCTCATCGCATTTGTCAAACTCTATTACTTCAATTTTACCTATACGTCCTGGTGCAAAAGTTACAATAAGCATTTATTCATATCTTGGACATATTTGTAATTTTGCTCATGTTCATATTAGGCAGTAGATCTCGGCTTCCAAGGTAAAAAATTAACACAAATGTAACTCCGAAGGCACGTTCCTCGGTTTAAACGTGCTTCTCCATCTCCAAATACGCTATGCCATTATGTGAAAAATCAGAAATAGAAAGTTCAATTATAGGGTGTTTTCTTCCATGGCTAAACCATACACGTATTGAATTCCCATTATGAGACAAAAGTATAGATAATGGGTAGCAATTATGTAATGCTCGGAACGAAGCTTATCAACACTTATTGTGGAGATATCCATGATAAACTGTGACCTGCAGAAGCATTTGTTACTGGAAAATAGGACATGTGGCACTGCCATTGCGACTTTTTTCTTTCTGAATTAAGGAGCTTTATGCAGTAGCCCTCAAAGGGCGTGCTAAAACATAAGATTATACAAGGCATCAGCACTGGAGGTGCAATAAATCGCAAAATGCTCCCAGCTGTAGTTTTCCATTGATACGACTATTAAATCCACTCTGTATACAATATGCAAAACTTTGTAAAATTTTATATAATTTTTGATGATTTTAATGCTTAAAGTAATAGAAATATCCATATATTTTTACGGTCAGCCGATTAAGACTTATTAATCGTACGCGCTTTTACAAAACTAGCTATCTTATTCATCAGCTAAAAGAAAATAAAAGCCTATAAGTTTTAATACCTTCATAAACAGAGTTTTCTTTTGTGCGGTCATCCTTTAATACTCTGGTCACTATTCATGAACCGCTGTCCGGAAGTCGGCTACCGTTAATATCCATTCTCTGTTTGATTAGGAATTTAGAGTGGCATTTTAACTTTGTGAAACCGCTTTTGATTCCATTATCAAACATATTGTATGCTACTTGTCACAAACATACATGTGAAACTTTCTTTGTGCGTCGTGGTTTGGTCAGGTATGCCAGTGATTGACTGTGAAAAGGGGTCTATCAATTGATTGTCCCCAAACCGCAAAGGATCAGTGAGATCGAGAGACTGATAAGTCTGAAGGAGCGCTGCTTTTGCCTGTTTTGTTTCCCGCCTTCGCATTTAACACCTGTATATTACTCTATTAAAATTTTGACAATCGATGACTTTTTCTGTAACTTCCGGAGTAGTTGTGGCACAACAAAGGTAGGTAATAATAGACGGAAATACCGAACGCTATCGGAGGAAATTCTTGATTGGTTCGGAGTCCACAGCCGTCGAAAGGCAGACATGTGTAAAGAAAACAAATTATATTTATCTTAGTTAGCATCAATCGTTTTAAAGAATTCTTGAAGAGTTGGCGAATATCAGAAGAGCGTCCTTCGCATACAAAAAAATCCAAGGTAATCAGAAGCTTTATATTAGATATTTTTACGAAGGTTTTAGTAAATATTGAAATAATATGTGTAGATCAAGCAACGTATTCATGTTATTACGAGAATAAAAAGATGAAATGAGAGCACTGAAGATTCAATTATCTAAAAAAAAAGCTTGGTACAAACTGCATTTTGCACACGGTAGTTTTTATCAAATTCTTATATAATATTTGTTTTTATTCCATCGTGTGTCCCGTTCGTTTTTAAATGTTAGCAAAATTTGTATTTGTATTTACCTAAACAGTTAAATGGGTGGTTTGATTCAGTTTAAAATTCTTTAACGAATAC